GCTCTAGGAAGCCAGCAATGGCACACTATTTCTAGAATCTTGCCATGAAAACTGCAAGGATTTCTCCCAGCAGTTGCCAGGAGTCCATATCAGTGGTGGGATCCAGCTGGTTCGCACCACTTCAGCAGAACTGGTAGCTAATTTTTTGTGGCCCAGGCCCAGAATGGATTTCCAGAAGTGGCATCCACACAGAGAACCAGTTGTTCACATATTTGAATCCCACCACTGGTCCATATTGATATGACTGCACAAAGTATGCCTGCTTTCAGAGTTTCAAGTACTCATTTTTCAAATTTATTCTTGTTTTGGATAACAGCTCCCTTCGGGGAAAGAAATTTTACTTTATAATTTTATTTGATCTCTGAACAATGGGAGTCATGATATCCACAGAAAGGGAACTGTGATTAAAGATCTCCTGTGACGTTCTGATGCAAACATGTCCCTCAAATGCTGACGTCTACCCCAAATACAAAATAGAAGAACTGGCTGTCATAATGTCCTTGCAAAATTCGTTTCCTCTTGTATTTACAATTCTAACAGAATAACAGATTTGGAAGGGACCTTGGAGGTCTTCTAGTCCAACACCCTACTCAAGCAGGAAACCCTATACCATTTCAGACACATGGTTGTCCAATCTCTTCTTAAAAACTTCCAGTGTTGAAGTATTCACAACTTCTGAAGGCAAGTTGTTCCACTGATTAATTGTTCTTGCTGTCAGGAAATTCCTCCTTTATTCTAGGTTGCTTCTCTCCTTGATTAGTTTCCATCTGTTCCATCTTGTTGCTTCTTCCATCTGTCCTGCCTTCTGGTATTTTGGCGAATAGGTTGACCCCCCTCTTCTTTATGGTAGCCCATTAGATATTGGAACACTGCTATCATGTCGCCCTCTAAGAATACCTCAATCCATGTATTTTGAACATATATCTTTGCAACACTGACATTTAGAAATTGTCATTATTGTATTGATGCTGTGCTGGTGCAGTGGTTCGAATGCAGGATAACTCTGCTCACACTGCCAGTTTGATTCCTTCTATTCTGATCGGCTCACGGTTGACTCAGCCTTCCATCCTTCCGAGGTCATTAAAAGGAGGACCCCGATTGTTGGGGTCAAGATGCTGACTCTGTAAATCTCTTAGAGCTGTAAAAAGCACAATGAAACAGTATGCAAGTCTAAGTCAGCTGCTCCCAACTTTTTCTATATTCCCCACCCCTAGAACGCTTCTGATACATTCTCACACCCCTTATAGAAGTTCGAAATAATGGCAACGGATTATGCATATACACTATAATTTTGAAAACCCATGTTTTCGCATCCCTTGGAATATCATCTAGGGGATGGGAAGACCCCTAGTTGGGAACCCCCGATCTAAGTGTATTGCTATTTTCAAAATGTTCAAGAATGCTAAATTTGGTAGCCAAGATGTAATGCTACAACTTTGGGGCACTTTTGTGTAGCCTGTCATGGTTCCGACAGATGAAACTCTTCAAAGAACTTTGAGGTATTGTTTACCTTAAAGAATCTTTATTTGAGCAGCATAGCATCAGCACATACATAAGTGAAGCCAAAATCTGGATTCCCCTCCCCTTAGCACATAGTATCAAATACAATTCCGTCCTCTAGTTAACAGTCATAAATCACATTTTCCAATTAGTTTGAAATGCAGACTTTCCCTTCATTACTCCATCCCGCCATTTCTTATCATCTCTTATTTCAGAAGCCCTGAATTCACACATTATTTCAATATTGTTGTGTCTAACTAACTCCCATCACATTCCTCTTCCTCCCCCAGTATCATCTAATTCTAAGAGTAAAGCATAAGAAAGAAAAAGGCTGCATCTCCATATCTTGTCAAAGCAAGAACATCCAATGTTAGCAGCATTGACATAGCCAAAGAGAACCCAACTCTTATTACATACTCTTCCCAAAAAGCTATTGAGTAACGAAGCCTAAATATGAACCTGCCTGATGATTTCATTCTGTGTTCATTATTTCCCCAAATAAACTGTCAGCGATAACAACAGTGCCATGCTGGGTATGATGTATGTTTTTCCTGATCCCTCTCCTCCTATATTACACCAAACTGCCAAGACAGTCACAAGATGTTCTGTGAAAATAAATGAAATAAAAATATATTAAAAATGGCTAATTATGTTTGCAATCAGTCTTGACTCTGGCACCATGACTCATCCTTTGCAAACATTTGTGGTTCAGCGAGAACTTAATGCTCCCAAATGCTGCTTATCTCTTTTCATCTCCATGCAGAGTCAGCACTTTATGTTTTAGGAGCTTTTATCGAAATCCAGAAGATGATTTTGTTATATTTCCATCATGCTCTTGCCAGGCAGATCTAATTCTTCATAGCCCATATGTTGACTTGGTTTTAGAACATAGAACAGTGATGGCGAACCTTTTAAAGACCAAGTGCCCAAACTGCAACCCAAAATCCACTTATGGATTGTCAGGTGCTGAGTGGGTGTGGCCCATTGGCTGGGTGTGGCCCATTGGCTGGGTGTGGTCTATTCAGGGTGTGTGGCCCATTGGGTGGGCATGGCTGCGATGGTAATGGCAGACTGGGTGGGACTAAAAAGTTCAATCAATCAATTCCAACTTTGCAAGATCTTTTTTTCCCACAAGAAGTTGAAATTGACTGATCTAGGACTGGGGCGACGGCGCACATTCCCACAGAGAGGGCTCTGAGTGCCGCCTTTGGCACCCATGCCATAGGTTCGCCACCACTGACATAGAACATAGAATAATAGAGCTGGAAGGTCTTGGAGGTCTTCTAGTCCAACCCCCTGCTCCAGCAGGAGACCCTGTACCATTCTAGGCAAATGGTTGTCCACTCTCTTTTTTGAAAGCCTCCAGTGATGGAGTACCCACAACTTCCAAAGGCAAGCTTTTCCATTGATTGATTGTTCTCACTGTTAGGAAATTTCTCCTTAGTTCTTGGTTGCTTTTCTCTTTGGTTCTTGGTTGCTTTTCTCTTTGGTTAGATTCCATCCATTGTTTCTCGTCTTGCCTTTTGGTGCATTGGAAAATATGTGACCTCGTCTTCTTTGTAGGAGCCCCTCAAATATCGGAACACTGCTATCATGTCTCCCCTAGTCCTTCTTCTCATTAGAGTAGACATCCCCAATTCCTGTAACCGTTCTTCATATGTTTTAGCCTCCAGCCCCTTTATTTATTTATTTATGAGACTTATATACCGCTTTAAGTGCAAGCACTCTCTAAGCGGTGTACACCAGTAAGCAATGTATATATATATATATTTACATTATCCCCAACAATCTGGGTCCTCATTTTACCTACCCCGGAAGGATGGAAGGCTGAGTCAACCTTGAGCCGGTGAGATTTGAACCGCTGACCTGCTGAACACAGTCAGCTAAAGTGGCCTGCAATACTGCACTCTAACTGCTGCGCCACCTCGGCTAAAGTGGCCTGCAGTACTGCACCTCTAACTGCTGCGCCACCTTAATCATTCTTGTTGCTCTTTGCATTCTTTCCAGCATCTCAGCACTTTTTTATATGGTGGTGAGCAGAACTGGATGCAGTATTCCAATTGTGGCTGTACTAGGGCTTTGTAAAATAGTATTAATACTAATATTCAACCCTGACAGTGATTCAGAAAAAATGGGTATATTCATAATTCATTTAGGAAGGGCTTCTTTGTGTCACTCCTTTGACTGTGAATTTTGATGCAGCTACTTTGAATGAGTTGGCAGGGGGTTGCAAATTGCATGCCTGGTAGAAGAGGTTGATCATCCCAGATAAGAGGAACATCTTGTCCGTGGTCGAGGATATACAGAAGTTGCACTTCTCTTCTAGAATTTTCAGACAAACATAGATTAATATGCAAGAAGTATTCTTTAAGTACATTAATTAATTCCATCCTCAGTTGATTCATCTGAGGGTATTGGAAGGTTCAATTAAAAAGCATGTGAATTTGCAAATCCTGAATTAATTGGGTTTCTGGTGTGGGAAGTAAAGTCTTCATCCTGATTCATCCAAGCCGGGAATAAATAAACAACGTGGCGACTGCTTTGGGAAGAAAGTTGCAATTTATTGAAGAGCTAGAAAGATGGTTCTTGCAGGAAAGACCAGAGAAGAGAAGATCCTGAGCACATGTGGAGTAGGTTTTTATACCCTCTGAAAGCCTTTTGTTTGGAATAGTTTCCTGTTCCTGTTGCATGAACTTTGAGGCTATTTCCTCAAAGTTCACGCCACAAAGTATTCTGACCTGAGTTTAGGTGTGCCTCTCTGGTATTCTTTATGGTGATGGGTTAGTCCTATTATCATATCCTACTTCCCTGCTGATGGGGCTAATGGTTCCTAGAGTTTGGGTGGGGTATGCAGATTTTAGGTCTTTGTCTTTTTGAGTTTCTGGCTCCAACTTTCTGATGGTTTTACATTTGCATTTGTATAAGGCTGGCTCCTGCTTGGGACAGAGAGATTTGGGGGCAGGGTTGGTTTCTGCTTTTAAAAATCCTTTTGAGGAAATATATTTTTCTGCCCTTTTAATATTTCCTTCTCTGGGGCTCTGACTTCCCTCACTGGTATGTGACTTACAGTACAGTATGAAATGATTGGAAACTAACAACTCCAACTGTGACATTCATTCATGGGACCACTACATCTTACACTTTCTTCAACATCTCAAGCAGATACCCATGGTATAATTTGGGGAATGTACAAATCGATTTCAGCTCATTGGTTAAAAGACTGATGGTTGATCACCTAAGTATTATTTTAATTATCTATAACCTGAATGTATAGATCACGGAGAATATTTGTACTATTTGGGCGCAAAGAGAAAATATCTGCTGCAAACTCCACATAGGCGTCAGGAAGGGCATCCAGCCAGTAAATGCTCAGCTCCATTCAGTCACCCCACCTTCGCCCCAATAAAATGGGATTACAGATTGTAAAAAGAAAAAAAAAACATGTACTAAATTTGAATACAAACTTCTCATTTATGATCATTTCCTGTTGCCCCCTACAGACAGCAGCTCAGGCGGTTTTATTTATGTGCATGAATACCGCTGGGATCTTCATTAGCTACCTATCTGATCGAGCTCAACGCCAAGCCTTTTTAGAAACTCGAAGATGCGTGGAAGCTCGACTGCGGCTGGAGACCGAAAATCAGCGGCAGGTAAGGCGAGAGGGAACATCTGGAGAACTTCCCCGGTGTGCTCTCCATGATGCCTTTGGCTTTGCAACATGGTGTTAGAAGTAAAGTCTTCATCCTGGTTCATCCAAGCTGGGAATAAATAAGCAAACATGGCGACTGCTTTGGGAAGAAGGTTACAGTTTTTTGCAGAAAGATGGTTCTTCAGGAAAGAGCAGAGGAAAGAAGGCCTGAGCACATGGTGTAGTAGGTTTTTATACCCCCTCTAGCCTTTTGTTTGGAATAGTTTCCTGATGGTAATGGGTTAGTCCTATTATATCTCAAAAGTCATCTCCTGTTTCCCTGGGGCTGGGCTAATGACTCTTAAGAGTTTCTTTGTCTTGCGTTCCCTGGCTCCAACTGTCCTAATGGTCTTATATCTGCATTTGTATGAAGTTAGCTCTTGCTTGGGACAAAGAAATTTGGGGCCAGGTTTGGTTTCTGCTTTTCAAAAAATACTTTTGGTGAAAAATATATTTTCCTTTTTAATATTTCCTTCGGGGGGGGCTAACTTCCCTCAATGGCTTGGCAACATTTGGGTTCTTGCAAAAAAAAATATGGATACAGAGCTTTCCATCCAATCCACAGGCTTAGGAATGAGGCATCAGTTCTTGGTGAAAAACACTCAGTTGAAGTTTAGCTTTTCTCGCCCTGAAATAAGTTCCATGCCTAAGAAGAATTTAGCAACAATACGTGAAATGCATTTGGAATGAAGACAAAAAAGGTTTATTAGTGCTGTTATAAATGACTTTTAAAAAAAAAAAAAAAAAAAGGAGCAAACTCTTAAGCACCAGAGGAGAAAATAGGTACTTTTTCTTTTATGAGCTTACCGGTGGCCCCAGTCATTCATTCAGCTGAAGACCTCTAGATAAAAAGATATGAGTCATCTTGCTTTGAGCTAAAATTTGAGATCATCCATAACTATTTGTATGCAAACATTTGGGCATAGCACAGGAAGTTTAATTTCTCTCCTCCTTCAATGGAATGAGATATATGATAAGCACTGGTCCAAAGGAACAGCAATAAATAAATAAATATGAGTTTGTTCTACCCCAGGCGAAGTTTTGAGGATAAGAGAATGGATCTTAATCTAAAGTCTTTGATGCGTGAAGTGACTTCTCTCCTCCAAAGTGGTGTGAACTTAAGTATTTTTTTTAAAGCTACAAGCCACAAACGCAATACAAATGGTGAAAAAAGCAAGGTTCTACATTTAGGCAAGAAAAACCAAATGCACAAGTACAGCATAGGTGGCACCATGCTCAATAGTAGTAACTGTGAGAGGGACCGTGGAGTCCTAGTGGACAATCACTTAAATAGGAGCCAGCTGTGTGCTGCAGCTGCCAAAACGGCCAACACAGTGCTAGGCTGCATTAACAGAGGGATAGAATCAAGATCACGTGAAGTATTAATACCACTCTTCAATGCCTTGGTAAGGCCACACTTGGAATACTGCATCCAGTTTTGGTCACCACGATGTAAAAAAGATGTTGAGACTCTAGAAAGAGTACAGAGAAGAGCAACAAAGATGATTAGGGGACTGGAGGCTAAAACATATAAGGAACGGTTGCTAGAATTGGGTATGTCTAGTTTAACGAAGAGAAGGACAAGGGGGGACATGATAGCAGTATTCCAATATCTCAGGGGCTGCCATAAAGAAGAGGGAATTAAGCTATTTTCCAAAGCACCTGAAGGCAGGACAAGAAGCAACGGGTGGAAACTAATCAAGGAGAGAAGCAACCTAGAACTAAGGAGAAACTTCCTGACAGTGAGAACAATTAATCAGTGGAACAGCCTGCCTCCAGAAGCAGTAAATGCTCCAACACTGGAAGTTTTTAAGAAGAGACTGGACAGCCATTTGTCCGAAATGGTGTAGGGTTTCCTGCCTGAGCAGGGGGTTGGACTAGATGACCTCCAAGGTCCCTTCCAACTTTACTACTATTATTATTACTAAATATGAAATAACCAGAGATATAGGAGGAAAATCTGCTAATATGCATTGATTGTACTCATTAATATCCCATTCTTCCTACTGAGCATTCAACTTCAAAAAAGCAGTCCTTCTGCACCTCGTTAATAGAAATATAGTTTTCTAATTAGAACAAGAAATGGGTTCATTCAAACCTGGATTTATCAACCGAGTCCAGTTCCAGGTGCTACATTAGGATTTAAACAGACTTTAATAGGATTATAAAAAGCTATTATAGAGGGAGACTGTGGGAATGCAGAATTAAAATTAAAATTTAGAAGGGGTCTGCTACATTGAAACCCGCATACTTGTTCAATAATAATTGGCCTGCAGACCAAGCAATAATAACAGCACTTAGGCTTATATCCTGCTTCATCGTGTTTTACAGCTCTCTCTAAGCAGTTTACAGAGTCAGCAACTTGCCCCCAACAATGTTCTAATGAGCTTTGTAACACCGGAACTGCAGAGAAAGGATCTGTTCAGCTAAAGGAGATAGTTTTCCCTGCTCTCTATATCCAAAGGAAATAGTCACACATAAGTCACAGAATCATAGGGCTGGAAGGGTTCTTGGAGGTCTTCTAGTTCAACCCCTTGCCCAAGGCAGGAGTGCTTATACCAGGGGTAGGCAACCTTGGCACTTTTATGACTCGTGGACTTCAACTCCCAGAATTTCTGAGCCAGCCATGCTGAGGGGAAAGGGAGAGGTTTCCAAGCTGAGCCATGCTGGCTCAGGAATTCTGGGAGTTGAAGTCCACAAGTCATAAAAGAGCCAAGGTTGCCTACCCCTAGCTTATACCATCTCCGACAAATGGCTGTCCAATCTTTTCTTGAAAACCTCCAGGGATGGAGCACCCACAACTTCATTCTCACTATCAAGAAATTCCTCCTTACTTCTAGGTTGGATCTCTCTTTAACAAGCTTCTACCCTTTGCCTCTTGTCCTGCTCTCAGGAGCAGTGGAGCATTGTATGCCCTCTTCCTTATGAGATCCCGCCAAGTATGGGAAGACTGCCATCAGCTTCCCCTAAGCCTTCTCATCGTTAGGTTAATGGCAATTGCACTTAGACTTATATACCGCTTCACAGTGCTTTACAGCCCTCTCTAAGTCGTTTACAGAGCTAGCATCTTGCCCCCAACAATCTGGGTCCTCATTTTACTGACCTCGGAAGGATGGAAGGCTGAGTCAACCTTGAGCCGGTGAGACTCGAACTGCTGAACTGCTGGCAAATGGCAGTCAGCAGAATTAGCCTGCAGTACTGTGTTCTAACGACTGCGCCACCACGGCTCATAAGCAGTGCTTGCGACTAAGGATTAAACTCAAACAGGAGGAACTCAAAATGATGGACTTCTCCCACTGAAGAGTCTAGCATATTGTTTTTCAACCTCAGCAACTTTAAAATATGGGGGCTTCAACTTCCAGTGGCTGGAACCAAATCTGGTGGACCCTCAGAAACAGGGTTGAGGAAGGAAAAATGCTGATATATGAGAAGCTACATTTCCTCCATCTTGCAGGATCATACTTTTCTCTCAAATGTTTGACGCTTCCAAATTGTTTGTGAACTAATTTGACATGAGGGAAGGTTTTTACATTTCTTTTCCCTGCAAGTTGATTTGAAAAAAAAAAAAAATCTAATGCCTGCCATCTCCTTTTAAACAACGTTCCATGCACACTTAGAAAGAAAGGAAGGAAGGAAGGAAGGAAGGAAGGAAGGAAGGAAGGAAGGAAGGAAGGAAGGAAGGAAGGAAAAAAGAAAGTAAGTAAGTAATTTAATACTTTCAATATATACCTAGAACTAAGGAGAAATTTCCTGACAGTGTGAACAATTAATCAGTGGAACAACCTGCCTCCAGAAGTTGTGGATGCTCCAACACTGGAAATTTTTAACAAGAGATTGGACAATCATTTGTCTGAATTGGTATAGGGTTTCCTGCCTGAGTAGGGGGTTGGACTAGAAGACCTCCAAGGTCCCTTTCAACTCTGTTATTCTATTATTTTGTTATTGTCCCATTTCAAAACTAACCAAGTGTTTTATTTTTATTCATTCATTTATCAAATTTATACAGTTCCCCATCTCATTAGAATCTTCACCAATGAAAGATTCATATACTGAATGTGTGTGTGTGTGTGTGTGTGTGTGTGTGTGTGTGTGTGTTCCACTGAATCAGTAAGTAGGCTTTCCCCAGCCTTAAGACCTCAGGTTTTTTTTTTTGTTTGTTTGATTTGTTGCAATGTTCTTGGTTCATTAAACCTAGAGACTATTAATTCCTCTCTCCGTTTTTGTTTGTTGTTTCAGGAGCGGCTGGTTCTGTCTGTGTTACCTCGATTTGTTGTGCTAGAAATGATTAACGACATGGGCACTGTGGAGGACGAACACTTACAACACCAGTTCCATAAGATCTACATCCACCGTTATGAAAACGTCAGGTGATTCTCTTGTTTTCCAGATTAATCATGTCTTCCTCTGCTGAATGCATGCTCGTCTTTAGGCCAGTTCATTCCTCATTGGGTTTGGAAGGTTAGGAGATATTCCTGAATTGCTGAGCTTCTCTTCTCGTTGTTGTTCTTCGCTCCTTTTTCCTGTTTGACAACGGAGATGTTCCTGTCTCAGTTTCTCCCAATATCCCAGCCTTCTTTTGCTCGCCTCACTTTCTGGTGCAAATGAGAGGGTTTGATTTAATTTGAGTGCTCCCGTTTTCCGTTGTAGCCCACCGAGTCTGCTATCTCAAGCATGCTGACTTCCAAGGATGTATGGACAGAATTGATAGGACTCGTTTCCTTGTAAATACAATTCAGCTTCAGCTTCAGCTCTGATCTTTGCCGTTACTGCTGTATGCTCAGGCAACTGCAGCAATCACACGGATGGGCACAATTCAAGATATATGTAAGGCTGATTGATGCCTACATGGGCAACTGCCAGGAAACTGAAAGAAAAGCAGAGAAATCAAAGCACGGATAAGAAAGGAATAACCCTCATGAATGCAATAGGGCACCCTGAAACCCAATTCAGCCTGCATTGCTAGCTAGCAATCCTGCCAGTTGGAATCCTGTCTTTTAAACTATTCAGTTAAAACAGGGGTCTTCAAACTTCGCCCTTTTATGACTTGTGGACTTCAACTCCCAGAATTCCTCCGCCAGCGTGCCTGGTGGAGGAATTCTGGGAGTTGAAGTCCACAAGTCATAAAAGGGCCAAGTTTGAAGACCCCTGAGTTAAAATAATTATTCAGACCTGCATAGTTTATTATGCTTGAGAAGAATTCTCCAGTTATCTATGCCATCCTATCATAGGCTTAGTAAATTAATCCCACTCCCTCTCTCTCTTTTCCCCTCCCACTCCCTGGTTAATTTAGGGCCGTTGAGTTAGGTAGAGTTTGGGTGGTTGCAGAGACAAATGTTGCCTGTCTAACTGCTACAGGTAGTCCTTGACTTATGACCACAATTGAGCCCCAGATTTTTGTTGTTAAGCAGTAGAGATGTTACGTTTTTCCCCATTTTACGACCTTTCTTGCCACTGTTGTTAAGCGAATGACTGCAGTTATTAAGTTAGTAACTCAGTTGTTAAGTGAATCTGGCTTCCCCATTGACTTTGTTTGTCAGAAGGTCACAAAAGATGATCACTTGTCCCCGAGACATTGCAACCATCATAAATACATCTAGTTGCCAAGCATCCAAATTTTGATCACATGACCATGGGGATGCTGCAATGGTCATAAGTGTGAAAGGCTGTCATAAGTCACTTTTTCCAGTGCTGTTGTAACTTTGGACAGTCAACAAATAGTTGTAAATCGAGGATTACGTGTATTAATTCCTCTGTTTCTTCACCTTATCTGTTCTTTTTTTCCCCTGTTCTGTTTCTTGAAAATTTGCCTCTGCCACAAACATTGTTTCTAGTCCACGTCATTAGAAAAGTGAAGGATCAGATTGGGGACATATCATTCTGGAGAAAATCCATATGAGGGATCTTCAAACTTGGCAACTTTAAGACTTGTGGACTTCAACTCCCAGAATTCCTCAGCCAGCCAGGCTGGCTGAGGAATTCTTGGAGTTGAAGTCCACAAGTCTTAAAGTTGCCAAGTTTGAAGACATCTGATCTCTATAGTCACTAAAACATGATGGCAGGATCAATCAGACATCAGACTTGTCTAGGTAGCATTGCTATTTGAATTACCCTACTTTATCTCTACTAATCTGACTGTTCATCTCCTTTCTGTGTTCAGCATTCTATTTGCAGATGTGAAAGGATTTACCAATCTCTCTACAACATTATCGGCTCAAGAGCTGGTCCGGATGCTGAATGAACTTTTTGCCAGATTTGATCGCTTAGCACACGTGAGTCCAGCTGCTGATGCCTTTTTCTGAACTTCGGTAGAGAAGCAGGATGGAGAACACACAGTTACACAGAGAGACCCTCTTTTTTTTGGGGGGGGTGTCTTAAATTTGCATATTTGGTGACTCACTAGGCCAGGAGTAGGCAATCTTGGCTCTTTTATGACTTGTGGACTTCAACTCCCAGAATTCCTGAGCCAGCCATGCTGAGGGGAAAGGGAAAGGTTTCCCAGCTGAGCTATGCTGGCTCAGGAATTCTGGGACTTGAAATCCATGAGTCATAAAAGAGCCAAGGTTGCCTACCCTTGCAGTAGGCCAAAGTCAAAATTTTGTTTTTAGTTTCCAATTGCACCTTGGCTTTTCAAGTCCAAGGCAGGCAAAACTAACATGTGCTTGGCAGGCTTGTTGCATAATTTTGAAATATTCCTGATTTTAATCTTGCTTTGTTAACGGCTCCTTCCATTGATTTGCCTAGCCAAATTGCCTTTTATCTTCGTCTGAAGCAAAAGTTTCATTACCATTTCCTGTTTCATAACATTGGATAGTGGTCCTTGAGGAACTGGCTCAGTTTCCTATTAGGACAGGTGGCAAGTTGTATTCTCCATGTCTGTTGGTGTAGCCAAATCTCCAGAATCCTTAGTGGGAAATAAATGCTTTTAACATTGTGGTCTATTTCCGTAGTCTTAAAGGGGAAATTGAGTTTGATTGGAGGAAAGTCTTTCCCGCAATTAGGATCACTCTCTTTCTCAACTTTAGCTATTTATGATGCGTGGACTTCAACTCCCAGAATTCCCCAGCCAGCATGGCTGGCTGGGGAATTCTGGGAGTTGAAGTCCACGCATCTTAAACTTGTCAAGATTGAGAAACACTGCTGTAGATACTAAACAAGGGTTGAATCTGGCAAAGAGGCTAAGTTTGTTATCAAGCCATGGTGCAAGTAACCCTCACATCTGAGAAATGACTAATAAGAAGACTGTTACTACTAAAGGATAGAAAAAGGAATCACAATGTTTAAATCCTAGGGCTATTAGAGAACTTGATTGCTTGGTTGACAGATGAGCTGTCCTCTTCTCCAATTTCTTTGGAGATACGGTATCCACCTTTCTCCATTTTTCTTCAGACCCTAGTTTCCCAACTGAGATTAACAGCACACTCTTAGCATCTGCCAAGAATTCAGTATATCAGTCCTGGTTGAAAGAAAATTGATAGTATGACATAGGACACAAGAAAAATAATCCATTATTTTCTAGCCTGGGGAGAGAAAGAGAAAAAAAAAATGTTCTGATTGGCTTCTTGGAATAAATAAATGTTGCAGAAGTTCATTGACTTTATTCAATGTCATTTTTTCTAGCTTAGTTCCTGACAGGCCATGTTGTATTTTTCATGTGTTTATCAAGCTTACTTTAAATCATGCCTGGGAATTTTGTCATGGGTTGTAAGAACTTGAGAGAAAAAAAATACATTAAACTAAAACTTACCTAGTCCTTTAATTTGTTCATTAGATTGAAGCTCAAAATAGGAGATGAATTCAACTTCATGTCATCTGGTTGTTCTAGTGTGAATCATCAATGATTATCAAGACTGATACTGTTAAAAGGCTGTTTTTCATAAATTAGTCTCATACTCCTTTGTAACTATTAAAATTCCCTAACACAAGACACGCAACACCTCTTGTGTTGGAGAATCCCACAATTTAATTATACTGTGCTCTATGTAAAAAGCCTTCTTTTAATCCAACATGTATACAGAATTGTTCTTCGCCAGCAATAATGTACATTAAATGTCCATCTCCAAGGAGTAGCCCTGTCTCCTCGCTGAGATTTTCATGCAGAAGTGAGATGTTCTCTTGCATTCCGTGGGTCAAGAATAAGCTTCAGCTAAATAGCCTTCAAGAACTCCTTGAGCTCCAATAATTCATGTTTCATCTTCATTCATTCATCTTCATGACGGAGCTATTACTAATCCCTCTTATTAAATGAGTAAATATTCAATGAATGAAAAACATCTTGCTGAGTCATCAAGGAATGCATCTGCTATTATGAGCTAATTTTAGTGGGTTCAGTCTGGCATGAAGTCCTATGATTAGCAGCCTACTGCATTGATGATCAGAGTTAATGATACTCCTCTTCATGTTCTGCTCACGTAATGGGAAGCTGGAAGGGTAGAAAACTGTATTGTCAAAAAAGGGGGCACTTTTAAAGCTCTATGGTTTTCAGTAGGAAAGCCAGACAAATGGTCTCTGCTATTTTTACAAGCTTTGGTGGTGATGATGGTGGTAACGACGATGAGATTTACAAGTGGTCCTCAGCTTATGATCACAGTTGGGATCAGAATTTGGGTTGCCAGAATAACATAGCTGGAAGGGAACTTGGAGGTCTTCTAGTCCAACCCATTGCTTAAGCACAAAACCCTCATCATTTCAGACAAATGGCTATCCAATCTCTTCTTAAAAACTTCCAGGGTTGGAGCATTCACAACTTCCGCAGGGAAGTTGTTCCACTGATTAATTGTTCTGTCAGGAAGTTTCTCCTTAGTTCCAGGTTGCTTCTCTCCTTGATTAGTTTCCATCAATAGAATAGAATAGAATAGAATAGAATAGAATAGAATAGAATAGAATAGAATAGAATAGAATAGAATAGAATAGAGCTGGAAGGGACCTTGGAGGTCTTCTAGTCCAACCCCCTGCTCAAGCAGGAGAACCTATGCCATCTCAGACAGGTGAATGTCAAGTCTCTTCTTGAAAATCTCCAGTGATGGAGCACCCACAATTTCTGGGGGTAAGCTGTTCCACTGGTTGATTGTCCTCAGTCAGGAAGTTTCTCCTTAATTCCTGGTTGCTTTTCTCTTTGATCAGCCATTGCTTCTTGTCCTGCCTTCCGGTGCTTTGGACAATACCTTGACCCCCTCTTCTTTGTGGCAGCTCCTCAGATACTGGAAGATTTGAAAGATACTGGAGATACCAATCCTTCTTTTCATTACATCACAAGGTCAGATCTGATTTTACAGACTTTTTTTTTACTGTGGTCATTAAGCAAATCACACAGTTCTAAAGCAAATCCAGTTTCCTCCACTGACTGTAGTTGTTAAAAACTGGCCCATCACATGACCACAGGACATTGCAACCATCATAAATGTGAGTGCCCAAATTGTGATCATGTGACTACAAGGGGGGGGGGTAAGAGGGTTACAACTTTGAGGACAGGACATGTCACTTTTTCCAAAGCCATTGCAACTTCAAATAGTCATTAAATGAATAATTGTAACTTGAGGATTCCATGCAGCATTTTATTTTAAACAATGTGATGTTACCATTTGGACCTTGTGGCCCTTGTGAGTTGCATGGTGGCCTGGTGGTGAAGACGCTTACCTCCCACACAGAAGGCTGAGAGTTCAAATCTAGATAGTGACAGATATTTCTCTCTCCTAGAGTGTGAAGAAAAAAAATCTGCTGGAAACTCTGCATAGGCATCAGGAAGAGCATCCAGCCAGTAAACGCTCAGCTTCATCCAGATACCCTGACTCTACCCCAAATTCACAGATTACAGGGTTGTAGAAAGGGAGGTTTTTTATATATATCTGGTGGCCCTTCTAGTTTTCTGCAGTTCTGTTGTTTTACACTCAGTTACACATCGTTGAGTTTCATACTCTGAATTTATTCAATAGTATTTTAGTACTTTATGGTTTAAGATGTATTCTAGATCAAAATACATGTATCAGAGTTTCTATCTGGTTTGCATCCTAGTCACATTTCTTCAGGAACAATAAAACCCAAGAAACATGAAAACTGGAGGACCATCAAGTAAACAAGAGAGAAGATTTCCTAACATTTTGAGCTGTACTCTGATAGAAATTGATATTTTAAAAAATGTGTCCCCCTTTTTCTGAACTGTGCCTTAATGATGTAATTCTTATGGCCTTTTTTCCCCCCAAGCTGCCATTACTACGTATAGTGCTGAGACCATCTGGAGACACATCAGAGCACAGATGGAAATCTGTCAGCGTGTCTTTGTCCTGTTAGGCAGCCAACTTCCCAGGAATTGTAACCTATCCTGGAGCAGGCTTACAGAAATGCATCATCTTTCTCTGGAAGATATCCATTACATTGCATAGATTAATCCAACTTTAATTATGGTCTAATAGAGCAGAGGTCCCCAACCTTTTGGGCATCAGGGATCGGTTCCTCTGAGAGAGGTTTTTCCACAGTCTGGAGGGGGTGTGTTTTGTGTGCTGCCTGCATCCCGCAAATAGGGCTTTGCTTGTTTGTGTGGACCAATTGCCGGCATGCCGCAGCCCAGTACTGGTCCACAGACCGGGGGTTGGGAACCCCTGTAATAGAGAATAGGAATAGAACAGTTCTTATCCTTCCCAATAACAGAGTTGGAAGGGATCTTGGAGGTAGTGTAGACCAACCCCCTGCTCAGGCAGGAGACCCTCTACCATTCCAGCCAAAGTGGCTGTCCAGTCTCTTATTAAAAGACTCCAGTGATGGAGCACCCACAACTTCTGAAGGCAAACTGTTCCACTGGTTAATTGTTCTCACTGTCAGGAAATTTCTCCTTAGTTCTACATTACTTCACTCCTTGATTAGTTTCCATCCATTGTTTCTTTTCTTGCCTTCTGGTGCTTTGGAAAATAGGTTGACTTTCCATCTTCTTTGTGGAAGCCTCTCAAATATTGGGACACTGCTATCATGTCTCCCCTATTTCTTCTTTTCACTAGACTACACATACCCAATTCCTGCAACCATTCTTCAAATGGTTTAATCTCCAACCCTTTAATCATTTTTGTTGCTCTTTTCTGCACTCTTTCCGGAGTCTCAACATCTTTTTTATAATATGGTGACCAACAGTGGATGTAGTATTCTAAATATGGTCTTTTTACAGCTTTTTAAAGCTGCACTAGTACTTCATGAGATCTTGATTCTATTCCTCTGTTAATCCAGCCTAGGATTGCATTGTCTTTTTTGGCTGCTGCTACACATTGCTGGTTCATATTATCCTCTATTAGACCAGAATAGAAGTTGGATTAGTCTATCCAATGTCTTTCTAGATAATGAAACATACATCATATTTTTGGAATTAACAGGGTTATGGGAAAATAATATAATATAAAGTACTACTACCACATCTTGGACCTCTTTCAAAGCTTTTAAAAGTTTTTATAGCATCATTTAAAAAAGCATTATTTTTTTGTCCTTTGTTTCTGGACTGCAACTACTGTTTACAGTACACCGAGTGCACTGTAATTTAAATGGCAACTCCCAGATGACCTTGACTAAAGTTACATCATCACTGATCATCTTCATTATCATCTCTAGATAAATCAGTTAGAGCCAGTTTTGCCAAAAGTTTGCTCCAAGTAAGAATGGAGAGCCAGTTTGGTCTAGTGCAGGGGTCTTCAAACATGGCCCTTTTATGACTTGTGGACTTCAACTCCCAGAATTCCTCAGCCAGCGTGCCTGGCTGAGGAATTCTGGGAGTTGAAGTCCACAAGTCATAAAAGGGCCATGTTTGAAGACCCCTGCTCTAGTGGTTAAGGCACTAGGCTAGAAAACAGGAGACCATGAATTCTAGTCCCACATTAGGCACTAAACTCAGCTGGATGACTTTGGGCCAATCACCAGGAGACTGTGAGATGTAATCCCGCCTTAGCCATGAAAGCCAGCTGGGTGACTTTGGGCCAATCAGTCTCTCTTACCCAACTCATCTCACAGAGTTGTTGTTGTGGGAAAAATAGAAGGAGGAAGGTATGTTGGATATGTTCACTGCCTTGAATTATTTGTAAAGGCCAGATACAAAGAAATAAACAAACTGCCCTACAGTGGGATAATGATGGCAGCTCTTTACTGCCCAAGGAGAAAGAAAAGAAGAAATAAGGGAGACATGTTAGCAGTGTTCCAGTATCTGAGGGGCTGCCACAAAGAAGAGGGGGTCACATTATTCACCAAAACACCACAGGGAAGGATGAGAAACAATGGTTGGAAACTGATCAAGGAGAGAAGCAATCTGGAATTAAGGAGAAACTTCCTGACAGTGAGGACAATCAACCAGTGGAACAGCTTGCCTCCAGAAATTGTGGGCGTTCCATTGCTGGAAGTTTTTAAAAAGAGACTGGACAATGACCTGTCTGAGATGGTATAGGTCCTGCTTGAGCAGTGGGCTGGATTAGAAGACCTCCAAGGTCCCTTCTGTCTCCTATTCTATTCTATTCTATTCTATTCTATTCTATTCTATTCTATTCTATTCTATTCCATTCCATTCCACTCTATTCTACCCTACCCTACCCTACCCTACCCTACCCTACCCTACCCTACCCTACTCTACTCTACTCCACTCCACTCCACTCCACTCTACTCTACTCTATTCTATTTTCTATTCTATTCGAAATCATCACCAGTACCTTGTAATCTGATAATTCAAATTACCATTTTCTTTCTTGTCCAACCACTAGATTCCTGTTATTATAATGTAAACATGGGGGATTTCTCCTCTGGAGTTCTGATATGGATTAGAGTCTCAGATCTTGAAAGCCATTAGGGTGCTGTTGTTTTTTGGAAAATTGCAGTTCTTATTTCTTTCTGGATGCAGAAAAGCATGTATGTACCACAGAACTTCACATTTTCTCCCCTGCATTCCTCCCATCCATCTTCTTTTTGTAGCTGCTATTTTTATTTTCTTCATTTACAGGAACATCACTGCCTCAGAATTAAGATCCTGGGAGACTGCTACTACTGTGTATCTGGGCTTCCAGAGCCTCGGCAGGATCATGCTCACTGTTGCGTTGAAATGGGACTCAGCATGATCAAAACCATCAGGTAATTTGTGTTTGGCTTTATTGCCACCCTCACACTGTGTTACAGTTGGTGGTTTTACAGCTCTTACCTTGGGGACAGTGGAATATTTTGTAGGAACCTTGTCTTTCCCACTCCCACTGACTTTTTTTTAAAAAATAGAACCAATGTTCATTGCAAAAGACAGTTGAACAGAACTGAAGAAACATGGATTCAGGATTGTGTATTGAATTCCAGAACAGACTGGAGTTTGCAATTCAGCTACGCACAGAAAACTATTCCTGGTAACCATCAAGCTTTATTTCTTGTTGGAATCTAGTTTAGCGTAGGAACAGAATGTCAATGGAAGGGGTAGGCAACCTTGGCTCTTTAATGACTCGTGGACTTCAACTCCCAGAATTCCTGAGCCAGCCATACTGAGGGGGAAGGGAGAGGTTTCCATGCTGAGCCATGCTGGCTCAGGAATTCTGGGAGTTGAAGTCCACGGGTCATAAAAGAGCCAAGGTTGCCTACCCCTGGTCTATGGAGAGTCTCAGTCATCCAGGTCATGGTTGTCCCAAAGGTGCTTTTTCAAGAGGCAACTGGACGTTCTTTGTTTTTTCCTTGAAGACATTTCACTTCTCATCCAACAAGCTTCTTTGGTTCTAAAGAAGTTTCTTGGATAAGAAGTGAAACATAACACATTTCCAAAAGCCAATCATTAGTATTTGGAATAATGCAATTTTCCAATTTCTCAATTTGGCAGATCTAGCCAGTCCTTCCCAAGTATCTAGGACAGAGGTAGGCAACCTTGGCTCTTTTATGACTCACGGACTTCAACTCCCAGAAATCCTGAGCCAGCATGGCTCAGTTTGGAAACCTCTCCCTTTCCCCTCAGTATGGATGGCTCAGGAATTCTGGGAGTTAAAGTCCACGAGTCATAAAAGAGCCAAGGTTGCCTACCCCTGATCTAGGATAAGTAGATATTGTTGTTTAAGAAATTATTATGGTGGGTCGCACAATCAGCCAGATGTTCAGACTGGATTTGGCATTTTAATCCGCCTCTCGAGTCCTTCCCGAGGACCTGGGATAGGCAGACCTTGGTGTTTCAATAAAGAAGAAGGACCCATCATGTTAACCTTGGTGCTTGCTAGTTTTCTTGCAGATGTTTCATTATCCAAACTAGGTAACATCATTAGGAGTGAAACATCTTTAAGCAAAACCCAAAAAAAGTCCAGTTGCCTCTTGCAGAAGCACATTTGGGAGCAGGAGCAGAGACAAACTTTGTTGCTACAAGAAGGAGCCCATAAGAAAATACCAAATATAAGCAGAAAACCAATAAAAACGCAATAATAACACATTTCCAAAAGCCAATCATTAATATTTGGAATAATATCACTTTTCCAATTTCTCAGTAAAGATCTTTTTACCCTTCCTGTGCATGATGCTACCATAATTCCTCACAGTCTGATTCTTGAGCTTTGGTATATAATTCAACCTCCAGGTTAACATCTTCAACTTTTAAAGAGTTCCCCATAAATCAACTTACATTCATTAAAATGCAATTCCGGAAAAGAGTCAAGAATTCATAGGACCATGTCATATGGAGCAACGAAACCTCCTGGTTTTACATCTCCAGCACAGAAAATCTGTTGTTCTTCCTTTCAAGTACATTCTTCAAGGCACTCAATATACTTTCTCACAGCCTGCACTCCTCAAAATAAAAGCACCATCTTTATGTTGTTCTAAGAACTTGCCATGACTGCAAAGGGAATAGCTTTCCAATATGGGCTATAAAAGACAATGTTCCATCAATTGTCATTCTATGTATTTAGGGCTGATAAAATAAGCCCAATTATATTTTTGTAAATTAGATATATTAAAACCACCCTCCTCCAAAGATAATCTCAATTGAACTAATGAATCTCTCAAGGGGCCTACTATCCCAAATAAATTTCCTAAATAACCTAGGAATGTGAAGAAAATTTGCATTAGGTATTAACATTAGAATACCACTAAGGACATAGATCAAACGAGGGACAATATTCATTTTAATAACATTAACTCCATAGGCATAAATGGGATCTTAATGCCTCCATTCATATCCAATTCCACTTTCTAAAAGTTTCAGCATATTTATTTTCACATATTTAGAAATGTTTTGGGGAATATAAAGTGCTTAATATAATCGGTTTAGAATGGGCAATGAAGGTATCAAAGTGATGGATAGCTTCTGCTTTTTAGGATCAACACTAAAGGAAAAGTCAAGAAATATGTCACAGACTCTTGCTTGATAGAGCAGCCACGAAGGCCTTGGTAAAGATATTTTAGTGCTGTAATGTGTTTCTATTTGCAAAGATCAGAGGTCAGGACAAGAAGTAAAAGATGAAAGCTTATCAAAGAGCCATCCCGCCTACAATTAAGGAGAAATTTCCTGTCAATGAGAACAATTAATCAATAGAATGACTTGCCTTCAGATGTCGTGGGCGCTCCATTGCTGGAGATTTTCAAGAAAAGATTGAACAGTCATCTATCCCAAATGGTATAGGGTCTTCTGCCACGGGCATTCAGTTAGATTAGAAGACATCCAAGGTTCCTTCCAGCCCTATTATTCTATGTTCTGTGTTCTAACTATATAGACGCAACCACCATCTGTGTTTTTGGAAGATAACTTCAACACACAGCCAAAATACCAAATGTAGTTCTTGGTTGAGAAATAATGTTTATTCCTTAGATAGAAAGAGTTGTCTATCTTAAATATCATGATGGTTTTGTAATTTTAGATTGGATTCTCTCTGTATATCTATATTTATATCTATATATCTATGTCTATATCTATCTATATCTATATTTAATCTATATCTATATATCTATACATATATCTACATCTACATCTATATCTGAATAAAATTGAATTGAATCTTTTTTTAGGTATGTTCGGTCAAGGACAAAGCATGATGTGGACATGAGGATTGGCATACACTCTGGATCTGTGCTGTGTGGGGTCCTGGGTCTGCGGAAATGGCAATTTGATGTCTGGTCGTGGGATGTAGACATTGCAAACAAACTTGAGTCAGGTGGAATACCTGGGTAAGTGGAATCTGGTCAAATGAGGCCATCATGTTCTAGATTTTGAGTCTCACTTTTACAGCAGGAATATTGAAGTCTGGGCCCCGGAAAACTGCTGCCTTTCTTAGACCTCTCAATTATAAGCATGGTTTTCTTGGATTTGCTCTTGATTCTGATAAGGAAGGAATTTCTCAATCAGGTTTTATGCCAACAGTGGTCTACAGCAGGGTTCTCCAAATTTGGCAACTTTAAGACTTATGGACTTCAGCTCCCAGAATTGAGAAATAGCGGAGGAATTCTGGGAGTTGAAGTCCACAAGTCTTAAAGTTGCCAAGTTTGGAGAACCCTGGTGTACAGGGATGGGCTATTGGTGAAGGTGTTGGATTCATTCTGCGAAAATCCAAATTCAGGTCCATGCTCAGCCCTGGAAACTCACTGCACTGGGTGTCTTGGAGGGAAGTCTTTGCGTGTCATTCAGACCATATCACAGAATTCTAGTTGCAGAGATATGGGCATGTTATGTATATGGCTTGATGTTCCTGAGATCTAGCCCAGGGGTAGGCAACCTTGGCTCTTTTATGACTCGTGGACTTCAACTCCCATAATTCCTGAGCCAACATGGCTCAGCATGGAAACCTCTACTTTCCCCTCAGCATGGCTGGCTCAGGAATTCTAGGAGTTGAAGTTTACGAGTCATAAAAGAGCCAAGGTGGCCTACCCCGAGTAGGCTCTTCATAGCTTCTCCTTTTGAACTTTACAGGTAGCTCTCTACTTATAACTGTAATGAAACTTGCCCATTGTGATTGTAAGTCATGATGGTTCTGATTTTATAACCTTTTTTTGGCATACAACCCGCCTTGCCTACCAAACAAGATTCTATCCAAAAAAGGTGCTGGAACTCCGTTCTGGGCGTTCTATGACAAAAAAAGCCCTGCATACACACACACACACACACACACACACACACACACACACACATATGGCTGGATGGAGTCACTGAAGCAGTAGGTGTGAACTTAAATGGACTCCAGAAGATGATAGAGGACAGGAAGACCTGGAGGAACGTTGTCCATGGGGTCGCGATGGGTCGGACACGACTTCGCAATTAACAACAACATATATATCACAGAGAGCCATGGATTTATTAGACATCTTTTCTCACCAAAGAAGTCAAGGAACATCATCATAGAACATCAGATTTGGAAGGGATCTTGGGGGTCTCTTAGTAGCCCAACCCCCTGCTCAAGCAGGAGACACTATATCATTTCACACAAATGGCTGTCCAACCTCTTCTTAAAATCCTTTAGTGTTGGAGCATTCACAACTTCTAAAGACAAGCCGTCCCAACAGTTGATTGCTGTCGCTGTCAGGAAGTTTCTCCTTATTTCTAGGCTGGTTTTCTTCTTGATTAGTTTCCATCCATTATTTCTTGTCCTGCTCTCTGATGTTTTGGAAAATTAGTTGACCCTTTCTTCTTTTCGGCAGCCTCAAATATTGGAACATGGCTATCATGTCACCCCTTTCTTTTCACTAGAGTAGACACACCCAATACCTGCAATTGTTCTTCATATGTTTTCATATGTCACTCTGGAGAAGACTTCTAAGCAATCTGTAAGTGCAGAATTTGCAAAATTCTCTTTAGAATATTCTATGCTGCAAAATCAAAAAACCTGACTCTGATATAAAATTCATCTGGCTTTGCAGTGTAGAAACAACCTTTTACGGTTTTATAATAATGCTCTGAAGTATAATAGCGTCCCAACATTTGACTGCTTGATCTTCTGTTCAGAGATATATCCATTTTTCTTTCTGACATTTCATAATTCTGGACAAAGCCCTTTATCTCCTTGCTGGCCAGACTCAACTGCATGTCACTGATCTCTGTATATCAGAACTGTTGCAGTCATTGGAACAAGAAAGTGTCTCTGAAAAAGATGCTGATAGCTTAATAACAGTACTTACTACCCAGGCAGAAAGCTGCCACATGCTCAAAATTACATAGCCCTCAGGCCCACTTCAGCATTACTGCTAGTAATGTAGGCATAGTTAAAAAGTGGTCCTTATCTACATAGAATCATAATAAAACCATTAAAACAAACTAATAAAAATAAAATCCAATTTGATCTAGTGGTTAAGGCACACCAGAGTAAAAACCAGGAGACCGTGAGTTATAGTTCTGCCTTAAGCATGAAAGCCTTGAGTTATTTATAAAAATAATAAAGGAGGGATATTTTTTTAAAAATAATAATTAATAACATTAGAAGATCAACACCAAGTGGGAGGATCCCATATCACAATATCTTTTGATGCCAGTTTTTAATCTACTTTCTAACAGCCACATTCAGATCTTCATATAGATAGGTAGAAAAAAGTTCCCAATCCTAGAAACCAGCTGTTGGAAAAAACAGTCTTCATCATGGTTCAGTCCAAGCTGGGGATAAACAACATGGCGACTGCTTCAGAAAGAAGGTTGGAGTTTATTGAAGAGGAGAGCTAGACAGAAAGAGAGAGTGAGCACATGTAGGGAATGGTTTTTATACCCTTTGGAGCCTTTTGTTTGGAGTTGTTCCTGTGGCATGAACTTTGACCTGAGTCTGAGTATGCCCTTTGGTATCTCTGTGTTAATCCTATTATGTCCTGTCTTAGAGTTTGGGTGGGGTATGTAGATTTTAGGAGTCTTTGTCTTCCTAAGCTTCTAACTGGAGGGCTTCAATCTTCCTAAATGGATGATCACATTTGTATTTCTACAGAGCTGGTTTCTGCTTGGGGAAGGGAGACTTGGGGCTATTAAGAAAAGCTGGGCATTCTTTTCTGCCTCTTTAAGATCCTTTGAGGAAATATATTTTCTTGCCCTTTTAATATTTCCTTCTCTGGGGAACTGACTTCCCACACAGCATTATACTCTTCAAAATTTTTAAATCCTCTGTCAACCATCTGTTGTTGCATTTGACTCACAGAAAGTCTACAGCAGCTTCTTATCTACCACAAACTACCACAATCAATATCTCTGATCCATCCAGGATCCTTCCAGAACCTGCACAAATTTTTAAATGTTGTGTTTTGTTTTGTCTTTATTTTAAAAAAGGTGATTTTTTTGAAGCTTGTTTTAAATTTTTTAAATAAAATAAAATTTAAAGAGAGCGAGAAAAAAAAAAGAGAAGTGGTTCTTTGGTCAGTCTAAAGGAAGTGCTGAAAGAAAAAAAAAACAAATTGCTTTGCAGAGTGTCTCCTATTAGCATGTGAGGCATTTTTGCTGTTAAAAGGAAGAAAACTTCAAGAGTTTTCTTATTCTTATGAGCTGAGGTGGCGCAGCAGTTAGAGTGCAGTACTGCAGGCCACTTTAGCTGACTGTGTTCAACAGGTCAGTGGTTCAAATCTCACCGTTCAAGGTTGACTCAGCCTTCCATCCTTCCGAAGTAGGTAAAATGAGGACCCAGATTGTTGGGGGCAATGTAAATATATATATACATTGCTTACTGGTATACACCGCTTAGAGAGTGTTTGTATATAAGTCTCATAAATAAATAAATAAATAAATCCCACTGTAAGGACTTCATATATTTCCAAAAAGAAGTGGTGTTTTTTTTTTTAAGGAGAACAGTTAATGCTAACTGAATTTTGCTTCAGCTAATATTGCTGTTTTATGCTAAAAACTAGGAGAGTGTGAGTTCTAGTCCTGTCTTAGGCACGAAAACATCTGGGTGACCTTGGGCCGGCCACTCTTTCTTAGCCCTAGAAAAGAGGCAAGAGGAAGCCACTTTTTAAATCTTGCCAAGAAAACCACAGGAATCGGTGCAAGCGGTGGCCAGGAATCAACATTGAGTACGCACATAAAGGTCGTCCTCGATTTACGACCACAATTGTGCCCCAAATGTCTGTCACTTAGTGAGCCATTTGTTAAGAGAGTTTTTCCCCATGTTACGACCTTTCTGGCCACAGAGGTCAAGTGAATCACTGCAGTCGTTAAGTTAGGAACACGGCCGTTAAGTGAATCTGCCTCCCCCAGATTCTTTGCTTGTCAGAAGTTCGAACACTGCAAACCTCATACACACGAGCCAGTTGCCTTGTCTCTAAATTTTGATCATGTGACCATGGGGATGCTGCAATGGCCGTAAGTGTGAAAAACGGTCATAAGTCACTGTTTTCAGTGCCGTTGTAACTCCGAATGGTCACTAAACGAACGATTGTAAGTCAAGGATGACCTGAACACACAGTATTAGTCTACTTATGGATTCGCAGGGAGCTGAACATGCAAATCCACTCCTGAGAGAAAGTGCCACACAACCTTTTTTCAGCCACAAAAAACATTTTGTAACACGAGGGGTCCTTGGTGCTCTCTGAGCTTGCTTGTTTTCTTGCAGACGTTTCATTACCCTACTAGGTAACATCATCACTGACTAGCACTGAATGAATGAATGAACCTTTATTATCAAAGTATAACATGTATAGAGTGAGATTGGCTGAGCCTCCCTCCATGCCTCCCCCCTCCCACAACTCACAGTGACTACAAACTCCCAACTTATTACACCCTGTGAGCTAATTGCACAGCACGCCGGCCTCACAAGTCTGTCATGCATGAAATTATTATGTCCCATTCAAGAGCCTGACAGCCCATGGATAAAAGCTGTTTTTCAGCCTGTTGGTATGGCTGGCTATGTTTCTGTAACTGATGATGTTTCCTCCAGTAGTTAGGGTAATGAAACGTCTGCAAGAAAACAGAGCAACAAGCACCCCTCGTGTCAACCCTGAGCAACAAATATTCTCCTTCATTTTATAACATTCTGCCTTGGTGTTCCTCAGAATAGCCCAGCTATGCCTCACTTCCATCCATTCTGCTCCTTCTTTATCTCTCTTGTAGGCGAATCCACATATCCAAAGCAACTTTAGATTGTCTCAATGGGGATTATAAAGTAGAGGAAGGACATGGCAAAGAACGCAATGAATTTTTGAGGAAGCACAACATTGAGACCTACCTGATCAAACAGCCCGAGGAAAGCCTGCTGACTTTACCTGAAGACATTGTCAAAGAGTCTATCCCTTCTTCAGACAGGAGAAACAGCGGAGCGACGTTCACGGAAGGATCATGGAGCCCTGAGCTTCCATTTGATAACATCGTGGGAAAGCAGCATGTAAGTTTAATGTTCCTCTTTAATATCACCTGCCACTTAAGTTTGACTTCATCTCCATATCCAAGGAAAGAAATTTCTGCTTAGCCTTTCCTCTAAACGACAAGAGCTAATTAAAAACACTGCTGCTGGGCAGAATTAAGCTATGTATACGAACGTGGAAACGGTTCCTCTTCTCTGAGAGTTAGCCGAACTGGAAACATATCAGAGGTCATCACTCTGTTCCACAGGAAACGCGAGAGGCTTTTACGGGTGGCAGACACCATCAAAACATGGGGGATGAAGACTTGTAATTCCAGACTATCAAATGGGGTGTCCTGTAGATTTTAGGCATGTTTTAGGCTTAATGTGTTTTTTATTTTGGTGGACCCATGGGTGCCTGAACAGTGCTTCATTGAGAGAGAAAAAAAGAGAGATGGTGGAATGATGGTGTGTGTGTGTGTGTGTGTGTGTGTGTGTGTGTGTGAGAGAGAGAGAGAGAGAGAGAGAGAGAGAGAGAGAGAGAGAGAGAGAAAGAGATGCATGGATGGATGGATAGATGGATAAGTAGTTAGAGGTGGATGAAAACAGAGAAATAGATACTTTAGATAGAGGATGCATGAGAGAGAGAAAAAGAAAGAGATGACAGATGGTGAGAAATAAGTAAATAAATGAGGGATGGATGGATGGATGGATGGATGGATGGGGTGTGAAAGATAGGTAGAAAGATAAAGAGAGAGAGAGAGACAGACAGACAGACAGATAGATAGATGATTGATAGATGAAAGAAAGAAAGAAAGAAAGAAAGAAAGAAAAAGAAAGAAAGAAAGAGAAAGAAAGAAAGAAAGAAAGAAAGAAAGAAAGAAAGAAAGAAAGAAAGAAAGAAAGAACATGATGGTTAGTGGATGGGAGGATGGATGGTTGGTTAACAAAAGATAGGTAGATAAATGATGAATAAACGGATAGAGAGATGGATGGATGGATAGATGATAGATAGATAGATAGATAGATAGATAGATAGATAGATAGACAGACAGACAGACAGACAGACAGACAGACAGACAGATATAGGTAGAAGGATGATGATTGGATTGATAAAGAGATAGAACATGACAGATAGATGGATAGAACGGTGGATGGATGATGGATGGATGACAAAAGATTGTTAGGTAGATAGATGATAGATAAATGGACAGAGGGATGGATGGATGGATGGTGAAAGATGGGTAGGTAAATAGATGATGGATACCTGGATTAATGGGTAGAGAGATAGATACCAACTTAAACTGCCTAACTGTTATTAGCACATAAATGTCCTAAAGCCAGCCTTAAGGTTCACACGTGGGCAAGTGGTGATTGCCCTTGAGGACTCTTCACATAGCAGATGGGAAACTCGATGCTTCCCTGCAATGCAATATCATGAGGGTCCACAGAAGTGAACAGCTGGGGGTGAGGAGAGACAATTGACGAAACATGCATCAGGTTATTGCCTTGCAAACTCTACCCCTTTCATACCTGGATTGTGATGTCAACATGCAAGTAAGCAAGGTAAGGCAGCTGAAGCAAAACTGCGTGGCACATTTGTCATTCCATTTTTTCATCACATTAATACCCATTGCAGGGAACCAAGATTCTCAACCATTTCCAATAATAAAGAAAAATCCTGTTACAATATATAGAACAACGCAAAAACCCAAGCCAATCCCCCCTCATTAAATATAAAAATAAATGTCAGTTTATCCTGGGCATCCTGGCCCTCATGTCAAGTTGATTTTTATTGTTTCTGGAGGTCCATCCAGACTTCTAAGAAGGAATAAGAGACAAAGAGTTATTTACATATTCTCTTCTCTACATCCAGGAAATGATTACACTGGGGTAAACACCAGGTTCCATTTTCCCGTCTCATATAGGGAAATATTTACTCATTACTTCTGCAAAGAGAGGGCTTCATTTCTATTCAATCACTTACGAAAACTTCCCGCCCTTTGATTTTGTCAAGTCATGACACAATGGATTGCGTCATCTGATTTATGTTAGAAACTAAACCGTAATCCGACAGGGCAAATACTGGCTGGGTTTGTGCAATATTCTAGAGATGGCTTGTCTGTCACCCCACGGTCCTTTGGAAGATGACTTTTCCCCTGAGATCTTGGTGGTCGTTCAGAAGACCTTAAGACTTGCTCTTCTCCCGTGCACACAGGTCAGGAGGTTAGCTGGCCCTGTGAGTGATTGTTATTATTATATATTATATAATATGATTATAATTAATTATAACATAATTATAATTAATTAAGATATAATTATATACTTATTTTCATTGGTTGTTCTCAGTTACCATTCTTTTTATTTTTTGTTGTGTAGTTATTTATTTCTGTTGTGTATTTATGGTAATACTGATATTTCTATCTCTGCTGGCCACCAGAATGATTTGGGAAAATGATGTTAAGAGAAATCAGGAGATTTGGGAAATTTAAATGAGTATAAAGATTTATTGCAAGCTTAAGCTCTCTACAAGAATCTGAGCTACTAACGGTCAAGGGAAATGAGCAGGAGATAAGAAAGACATTCAAGGTGGGCTGGACTTAGATCCCTTGCAGGCACGCAGGGATTCATGGCTTATGACGCATGTGAACCCCTCCCTCGGGCTCAGCCTGGTCATCTCCTATAAATGAGCAGACATGGACCCTGAAGCTATTATATGATTAGACACAGTCAGCCAGATGTTTAGACTGGATTTGGCATTTTTTTGTCCCTCTATCGAGTCCTTCCCAAGGACCTGGAATAAGCAAATTTGGATGTTCGATGGTATTACAGATATTGTCACAGGATGTAAGCTGTTCTGAGTAAAGCTGCCTTTTGCAATTGACTGATGGTGAATTTGTCAATGCCAATGGTATTCAAGAGGTGCTCCAGTTGTTTATTTTCAATCAGAATAGAGCTGGAAGGGACTTTGGAATAACGCTAACAAGGCACCCCTAGTCACTCTTAGTTTTTATATTTATTATCATGTCACCCCTAGTTTATTGTTGTTACTATTATTATTTAAAAAGTGACTAGATGATTTGTGTTTTGCTACTTTGTGGATATCCAGGTTCACCTTAGAATTCAGAGTGATCTCAGCCATCTAGTTAAGCCATAATAGGTTTCATTGTTTGGGCATAGCTTATTCCATAAATACAGATTTAGGGCTTGTGAATCCAGATTTACAGTTTAGTGTGTTGGGTGACCACAGTAGTTGTGTATACAGGAATCTGTTGATTATACTCTGTCTACATGGCTTCAAGTTGGATGAAGGACTGGGGAATATTTAGACTGACCCATTTTGGAACGGGAAAATTTCTCTGGAATATTTTGAGAAGAAGCTGTGCTCTTTTGAACATCCCAGCTATCTACTATGCTGGTATTTCTGAGTGTTTATTAGAAATCAAAATTGTCATTATAATTTAGAAAATGTATTTCAGAAGCATTCATTCCTCCATTGTATACTTCAGTGCAAATCCTACACATGCCTATTTGATAAAAATAAAAATATTAATACTGTAGTACTATACTTTATGGAAATTCTGCTCCCCTTGATGCCAAAATAACTAAAACTAATACAAATATATAGATAAAAAGAGAATTATAATTAAATATAATCACAGAATTAAAAATAGAACAATGGTCTTGAGGCAAAAGATGACTTTTTGACCCCTTTTTAAGTTTAAAAATCAGGTTTCTAAAAATTATTTTGGGGAAAAAAATGATAGAAGATGGCATTTTGAGGATTACACAGAGCATTGCTTGCAACCTGATCTTCTAAACCAGGGGTCTTCAAACTTGGCCCTTTTATGACTTGTGGACTTCAACTCCCAGAATTGCTCAGCCAGGCATGCTGGCTGAGGAATTCTGGGAGTTGAAGTCCACAAGTTATAAAAGGGCCAAGTTTGAAGACCCCTGTTCTAAAGCTTTTGACTATTGATTTATCACCCCTGAGAGTGAATCCATTGCTATTTCTTTTTCAATCCTCCAACATTGTGTGTATTGGGGAAGTAGATAAGATAGAGCTCATAATTTGTATGTAAATGATTTTATTGATTTAATACATTTATTTAATAGCCCGGCTTTCTTATTTTTACAAATAATTCAAAGTGGCAAACTTACCGAATTCTTCTTCCTCCTTTTATTTTCCCCACAACAACCCTGGAAGTTGAGTTGAACTGAGAGTGAGTGAGTGACTGGCCACTCATCTGGCTATCATCCCTAAGGCAGATTAGAACTCACAATCTCTGGTTTCTAGACTGGTGGCTTAACCATTAGACCAGGGATAGGCAACCACGACTCTTTTATGACTCGTGGAATTCAACTCCCAGAATTCCTGAGCCAGCATGGCTCAGCTTGGAAACTCTCCCTTTCCCCTCAGCATGGCTGGCTCAGGAATTCTGGGAGTTGAAGTCCACGAGTCATAAAAGAGCCAAGGTTGCCTACCCCTGGCCTAACTTATGAAAACTCAGAAAATGAGTTTGGGTTTAGGGTTTAGCCTGGGATACAAACCCAGCCATTCATCCCATAAATTCTGCAGCATAAACTGGAGTCTTCAAGCTTCTTCTGGTTAAAAATGCTCAATAGTTAAATGGTCCTGGGTTACGGCAAAGAGTAAGAAAAATGATTTTCCATCTATATGATGAACTGATAGACTTGAATGCATCTGCCTTCTGGGCTAAAAAAAAAACCCTCCTGTTCTGTAAAATCACTCTCAGATTCCTCTACTTCACTTATCTTCATTGATGTGCAAACTGATAGAGGTAAAAAAAAAAAAAATTGTTTACCACTATGGCTGGGTAGATTTTCGTCTCTTATTTTTCTACCCAAACTAAAGACATCCTCATTTGTCCTCATTCTGATTGTCGTCAGAGCTTGTTGCATATTTAAAACTCATTGTCTAAGCAACATCATAGAATAATATCAGAAAAGGTAGGATCGCAGACAGTCTTTTGTTGGGAGAGAGAGAGAGAGAGAGAGAGGGAGAGAGGGAGAGAGAGGGA